GCCTCATCCTGATACTTGTAGCGCACAAATGCAAAACCTCTAGAATCTCCAGTCCTAAAGCACGAAATAAACATAGTACATGTCAAAGAATAGAGACACCACTACATCTTTGTCTATCTCCATACCAAGATAACACCAAAACATCATCCGTAGGTCTCAGACTCTCAGCTCATAAGCAATGTATAACTATCAGAAGTAACACCTTGAAAAGGAGAAATCATTTCCTTGCTATTTCACTTCACTATTTATATGATGGTACCAACTACACACTGAACTTATAATATTTTTTCTATGCCGGTAGTGTTCGAGCCATGCTGAGCACACCTCCGACTATCCAAAACAATACCTGCATCCTCCCACCTAACAGTACAGGTATCCCGGTAAAGTTGTTCACCAAGGCGTAGGCGGATAGGAAGATATAACAGTTTAAAATATTAATTTGACTTATGTATTATATTAATGGTAGCTAAATTAAAATTTCAGGATAATGTTTGAAAAGTTAGTTTGATAGAGAATATATCGATTATCAAATGAATTTGAATTTTCGAAAGTTCCAATGCAAATGAATTTGAGCTCATCAAAGTTGTAACTTGTAAGTAAAGTATAGGATGATATAATTAGTTTAATGATTTCTAACATTTAATTGAGACATATCATATAACCAAGAAGTAGGATGGAGAAAAGAATACCACGGTAATAAATAAATAATGAATAAATAAAGACAACAAACACATAACAAAGATATCGGTTTGCTCGATTACCCAAAGAAAATAGTACATATTACAAGGAAAATGTTAAAGAGAAAAGGTAAGAACCTTCGGTCTCTAGGGATAAAGACATCGACGACTTTTCCATACTTATCGAAAAGAGGAAACAAGTCATCAGCAGTGGTACCTGTACAAGCAAACAATGATTGAGTAATATTAGAAAAAATAAATTTGCTAATTGGTAAATAGAGGGAAGACGGGGGTAATTACGGAAAGTAACGTTGAGAACGAGGAGAGAGAAGGTATCTTTGATGTCCGGAGGGCCTGTTCTTCCGAAGTGAGACATCGCCGTTCGCCGGAGTGAATGACTGATAATAAGGGTGGATGGTGTTAGGGTTTGGAGCTATAGGTTATGGACGCGGGTTGGAAGAAGATTATGTCGATCTGTTTGTACCAAATTGGCCTTGACTTGTTTGCTTAATTTCAGTTTATGCCACATATATGGAGATAATGACAAGAATAGTCCCTAATGTTTTGGGATTCATATAAATTGGTCTTAATACTATAACCACAAGCAGGTTCGGTTCCTTAACTTTACCAAAATAGAACAATTTTAGTCTGCTATATTTACAACATATGGAGATAGTCATTTTTTACGGAGTTGATCTATAAAAAGTATGTAAACCGTTTAAGTTGAAGAAACCATTGGGACGATTTTCTCAAGATTCATCTCTTAATTCACACCTTAAGAAAAATATAACTTCCAAGATCTCAAAAACAAAAGTGTTACTTAATTCAAAGACATAAACATTAATTGATTCACTATTTCATATAATGGACGGTAAAAGGAAGCATATGGATGGGTTCAATTATAATGAATAGGGCTTTTTCCTTGAGATATGAATGGGGGGAAATGGATTTGGAAATGTGTATCTCAATTGTTCCTTTAGTTTAAAAGATTCGTAAATTCTTAACAAGTAAAGCTGCTTCGTATTGCATGGTCAAATTCGACCAACTATGTGGATTATACTTTTTATTATACGTAAAATCATGGAAGAACTACACATCGATTATCATTTGGACCCTTTGGGAGTTGTATCTACCACTAACCATTCTAATTTTGAGGTCCAACGGGCAGTTGCCAGGCATCTTAAGGGATATTAACGGAAAATCTGCCAAATGACATGCCTGTCAACCTAGAAACATGTCTTTGGAATACGAGTGTGGCGCTGGAATTTGGAGGGCAACACTTCTGTGCATTAGTTTTGAAGGGGAAAATCAGCATGCGCTGTGCAGAACAAATAGCGGTTCTTGAGTACTTCAAACTGTCCGCAAATCCTGATACATTATCTAAATACTTGCAGGTGCTTACACCCAACCAGGGTTATATAATCATTAGATAATGTCAAATAACCATAGATAAGTGATTTCAGTGAAGAGATATGCACTACTGGTTTTCTGGAATCACCAAATGTGACCAAATATTTAGTGACAATTCTGTTCGGGGAATTCTCTATCATCATCCGATCACAATATGTTTTAAAAGGACTTTATAAAGAATAATAAATGTCAACTCTCCATGTCGTGGAAAGCTGACAGAAGCCTTGCCAGGATTCTCCGTTGGTTCGTCAATACAGAATGAAATTGAAGGATTTTTCTTCATAGAGCAACGTGGAACTTTTATCAACGGCAACAGGAAGGCAAATATATATATGACATGGCCATCAACAACTTTGCTTTTGAACTTCTTATTATTGCCTTATTAACCAAACATAAAGAGCCAACCCTGCGAAGTAAAGCGTAACAGGAAAAAACAGATACTCCCTAAGCAGTATCTTGTTACCTTCCCAAACTCCCTCATCAAGCTAGTCAAATCCATAGCCATCTAGCAGAGTACTTGTCCAATATGGTAAGCACATACAATTCGGAAGCCCTATGGAAGAGCACAAATTCCTAGGAGAGAGTACCTTAACACAGTAATTTACCCCACTACATCAGTACCAGAGTTCTAAAACACCACCATATTGAAACCCTAAACTAGAAAGGGTTATCACACTGGACTATAGTAATGTAATAACCTAGCCGCTATCTCATACCTCACCTAAAAGGAGATCAAACGCCCCAATTCCACCTCTAAATGCCATGATAATAAGAAAGGTGAGATACATGAATCAAGCCACTAGCAGACGGAGTAAAAGAAGGTTAAGTTTTGATAGATTAACATTCTCACAGGAAACTGTCAGATCTCCAAGTCGGCAATGTGCACATGTTCCACTGAAAAATAACCAATAAGAGACGCAGATAGTGCATATCTGAAGTGACTCAGCACAACATAAACACACAACTTAGCTCCTGCAGAAGGTGGATGAACAATATGCAGAGGGTCCAACTGTACACATCAAGCAGACCATCAACTCCAAAAAAACAGCATCAGTTTGCTAGGCTATCAACTAACAGCAACAAAAGATCTACACAGATCAGCTAGAATCACGGGTGTAAGCATGAACTCGCACTGTAACATAGTGCAACTATCATTAGCTTAACTATAGGTGCTATACTATGTACCTGAAGAACATTCAACACCATAAAGCAAATAAAGATACTAGAACCTAGTATTAACAGATTGCGTGATTCATTATTCATTTATTTTGATAAGGGTAAAAAATGAGAAATCAAATCCGTGCAATGTTTAAGATCACACAATCACTACATCTGAACTCATTCATTTGGTCACATATTGAAATTTCTACTCGGCATAACAAAATATCAACCTGGAATCAACTTCAATAGCTACACTTGAACATGTGGATTTCTTTCATATAAAGAAAGATAAAAAAATGACTGGCAGGCCAAAGGCATAAACCTAGCATGACTTCAGTTATTCAGGAGTTTTGATCCTTACCGATCATGAGCATCCTGAACATTTGTATAGAAATGGTATTTTGTCACCAGCAACAAATTACAACAGCAAAGCTAAAACAGCATCAACAGCTGCTGCATATGCTTGCCATTCAACCAACAAACAGTAGTATGTCACCAGCAACAAATTATAATCAGCCAAGATAAAACAGCATCTACAGCTGCAGCATCTCCTTGCCATTCAGCGAAGAAATGGTAGTTTGTGACCAGCAACAAAATTACAACCAACAGCAAATATAACAGCATCAACAGCTGCTGTATCATCTTGCAATTCAGCCACATTGATTTTTCACGGACCCAGCTATAGAAGGCCAATAATTTCCATCATAAGTAAATTACAACAAGGTATACTATCACAATATTCCATGCAAGTATACTATGAATAAGAAAAGAGGAAATAAGAAATCAAATAAAGCCAAAACCAGAGCAGTAATTATAAACCAACAGTAGATATCTTAATATCACAATACCAATCCATAATACCAGAATGCAGAGGTAACATCAAAGTTCTGGCATGGATCAAGTACAACAAAAAGGAGTTAAACCTTATAAATAAGACGGGCCAATCAGTTCTAGCAAGCAGAAAATAGATGAAAGGATCCTTCATTTGGGAATGTACTCTTGATACGCAACATCGACCAGAACCAGATTACATTCATGGCCTTCTCTTTTGCTCCTTAATCCTACAAAAGCAAATAATGCTTTTTCATCACATTTATACTGTAATAAAACAATGTATGACAGGCACAACTCACATCAGCATCAGAATGCGGCAAGGGGCTGCGAGAACCACCACGTCTACCCCGCGGTGAGACACTCTTTGGAGTTGGAGACCAGTCCTTGTGATTACGTCCAGCTGGACTAGCATCCCTAGAAGGGGTTGTTCTACGTGGAGAAGGGCTCCTCCGAGGACTGAGGCTACGGCGAGCAGGGGACACACTTAACGTAAAATGACATGTTAGACAACACTTATGATAATAGTTTCGGGGGATGGGGAAGAAGAGGCAAAACACGTATAGAAAATTTTCTACCTTCTATGAGACCGGCTTCGGCTGCGCCTCTCCTCATCATATTTACCTCTCTCGCGATCTTTGCGGTAATCAGGGCTGCGGCTTCTGCTCTTATGACGGTAATCCTTGTCTCTCCCACGGTACCTATCATGTTCATACCTGTCCCTACTTCTACTTCGGCTTCTCCTTTTAGAATCCTTTTCCCTATAACGATCACGATGCCTAAGATAGAAAAAAAATAAAAGAAGGCGATCTTCAGATTGTGGATACAACTCTTCAACAGCTCAAAGCAAAATGTCAATTATTTAACTCAAGTATCACATTAAAGGGGAAGCAATATTATTTGAACACTTCCACCTTGTTTTGGAGAGAAAATGTGTGATAGCAGAAGAATATCAACGATGGGAGGTCAAAGAAGAGTTAAGAGAGTATTCATTTTAACACCAGTATCCATTCTAATACCCAAATATGTTCCACAGAAGCTCAAATTAGCCATGCCTTGATGGGATCACCACATTCGACACCATAATAGGTTTTGAAATTATAGTATCCAGCCAGCTAGTAGTTGATGATACCAGGCATCAGGATCTAATCAAAATGAGACATGGTTTCAAGATGGAAATGTTTTCTACATTGAAAATAAAAACATTAATGGCAGAAAGCAAGTAAAATAATGACACTATTCATTATCATGAACATTAATGGCAGGAAGTAAGATAACAATGTTACTAATTTCCATACTTCCCCCTCTCAGCTTAACATATTGAGATGGTTGCTACATACTGCAAAGAGCAATTGAAAGCATGAAGGCCAAGTAAAGTCATTATCAACTCAATCAATCAACTAAAATTCGATCAACTCAGTAAGAGGGAAAAATATTAACCAAAAAACGAAAGCTTAACAAAACAGCCAATTTATTAAGAAGGGCAAGTTCCATGTACAAAAGCTGAGGAGGGAGAATAATTTTACTTAAAATTCAGAAAACTGTCTCCGAGAAAAAAAAGAACTTCTAAAAGATCCAACTAGTCAGGTTTGTCAACTGAAAAATCTATGGAAACGTAAGCTAAGCATCACCATTTCCCTACTCCAGATCATCTACATTTTATTTAGGCCGGAAAGGGCAGGGAATTTCAAGAAAACCAATTCAATGGCATTTTTCACATGCTTTGATTGCAAAAGGATCATGAGACTCAAAATAGCATCTCTCAAACAGGCAGTAGAATTTTCAACTAGTAAATCTTGCAGCATGATTCTGAAGGATCGTTCTAAACCTCCACATTCTAGTTACACGAAGAAAAATTCTGATAATGCTTTTGACATCAAAATCAGTTAGAAACCAAAATTTGTAAATCTGAGCATATGAAATTTTCGCCAACAGTATAATTTAATGCAATTGGGAAAAATAAATCTAAATCTCTGAATGCATAAACTATATTTAATTCCACAAAGAGGAGGGTAGGGCCCAAGAAAGAGGAACTTGAATGTTCATTTCTATATGGCTGGAGATATTTGATATTCTACCCCTAGTTGATTAGCACTCGCAGAAATTAAGTACAAAAAAAAAAAAAAAACCTTCCTTGTTTCAGTCCAAGTTTGAAAGAGTTGGAAAAAAAAAAGAGAAAAAAGAGTGGATGGCTATCAAAACCATCTACTAACCTCCACTAGTCTTATACTTATTTACCAGATAAGGAAAGGCTCTACTCTTTTGTCTCCCCTCCGCTCACCAGCTCTCTTCTCACCCCAACAAAAGACAGTGTTAACCTGTTTAGTGTTCTTTGAGACCTTTAAGACTTTTTCTCTTGACCATTGTTATTAAAAGTCATTGCTTCATCGCAATGACAAGCAAAGGGCTATCGCTTCAAGGAAGCCGTGTGCTTGAGAGAAGTGTGAGCTTCAAATAATGACGCACAAAGTTATCTAAAAGAAAAGCAGGCATTTTATGAATCTCAACTTGGAGGAGTTGGATTAATTTTGGAAATAGTGCATATTTGATGCTGAAATTAGTTATTTTAATTGTAATTTGATTATTTTTTCCGAGAAAGGTAACAATGATTGTAATTTGATTTTTACAACATTAAATTCATATAGGGTTACAGAGGAGAGGGTTTTCTCCGTGCAGTAGATGTTATTTTTGCAACTCAGAGGAGGAAACAGCTGAGCATCTCTTTTTGCATTGCACATTTTCAAGACAATGCTGGGAATTTTTCTTGAACATAATGGGCATATCTTTGGTGCTACCTCAGAAGATTAGTAGCTTGCTGGAAATGTGGCAATCCCAGAGAGTAAAAAGAAGCTTAAAGCTGATATGGAAAACTATTCCCAACTGCATAATGTGGACATTATGGCTGGAGCGAAATAAAGCATGCTTTGAGGGAAAGAGACTGCAGATTGCTAGAGTCAAAAACAAATGTATTAAAAATTTGTATTTCTGGTGTTATAGCAGTTCTTTAGATGAGATGCCCAGTATTTGGATTTTTTGCACTTGTTAGGAGAAAATATGTAGTATGAATTAAGTAAGAGTTATAGTCTGGTCCTGTACTGTTCTATGTACCATCTTGGTACCAGTTATAATAAAATCTTTACTTATCAAAAAAAAAACATTAAATTCATATATGCCATTTTCTGCTTTTCCATAAACTTCGTGCATCAACGAAATAAACAAACAAATTGTGTGCTTCACTTCTCGCTTGTCGCTGCAAGTACCATTGACTTTGTCACTTCTTTTCGCTTTTAAAAACATTGCACCTTAGGTAGAAAGAACACATGATCACAAACTCCAACGAAATTTCCTATAGGATATATTCCCAACATTTGTATGACTAATCAACAAAGCTCAATGATTAGGATCGCATTAACACAAACAAATATATTCCAATGGAAATCTCGATGTTCGCAACCGGGATTTCAGTGGAAGAATTAAATAAATTAGCTCTTACCTTGAACTAGGACTGCGGCTTCTTGACCTTCCTCTTGTACTATGTACAGGCTCCAAAATTCTACCTTTGTCACTGTTCATAAAAACAATCCTAGCCTCCATTAGCCATAGTTTTATTGTCTCAAACAAATGGTTATTACAGCTCAATTTATAGGATAAAAAATGCACCTAAATATACAAGAGTGAAAATCACAACTTTCAACAACGCAAGCTCGCAACTTAATAAATATTTGCATCAAATAAAACTTACATTCTCTCGGCATTTGGGCCGTACTTTGCAAATTGAACCATTATTTCTCGACCATCTACAACTCTTCCTGTGGCCAAATAATAGTGTGATCAACAGCAATATAAGGCTACCACCCGAATTGTAATATCCAGAAAAATATTGGAGGACTAATAACTTAATTTAAATGTTAGAAATCACTTCATTTACCATCGAGCTTTTCCACTGCCTTTTGAGCCTCATCCTGATACTTGTAGCGTACAAATGCAAAACCCCTAGAATCTCCAGTCCTAAAGCACCAAATAAATAACAAGAGTTTAAAATATTAATTTGACTTATGTATTATATTAATGATAGTAAAATAGAATTTCGGGATAATGTTTGAAAAGTTTGTTTGACAGAGAATATATAAAATGAATTTAAATTCTCAAGTGGCAAAGCAAATGAATTTGAACTCATCAAAGTTGCACAAATGAATAGGATGATATTATTAGTTTAATGATGTCAAACATTTTAGATCGTCCTAAAATTAAAGGTAGCTCGTATTAATTGAGACTATTATGATATAACCAAGTAGGATGGGAAGAAAACATTTAATGAAAAAGACAACAAACACATAACAAAGATATCGGTTTGCTCGATTACCCAAAGAAAATAGTACATATTACAAAGAAAATGTTAAAGAGAAAAGGTAAGAACCTTCGGTCTCTAGGGATAAAGACATCGACGACTTTTCCATACTTATCGAAAAGAGGAAACAAGTCATCAGCAGTGGTACCTGTACAAGCAAACAATGATTGAGTAATATTAGAAAAAATAAATTTGCTAATTGGTAAATAGAGGGAAGACGGGGGTAATTACGGAAAGTAACGTTGAGAACGAGGAGAGAGAAGGTATCTTTGATGTCCGGAGGGCCTGTTCTTCCGAAGTGAGACATCGCCGTTCGCCGGAGTGAATGACTGATAATAAGGTTGAATGGTTAGGGTTTGAGCTATAGGTTATGGATGCTGCAGGGAGAAGACAGATGGTGTATGTTTGGTTCTTTATACAAAATTGACCTACTTATTTGCCAAACTTCAGTTTATGCCTCCTATTTGGAGAAAATGACAAGAATAGTCCCTTTTGTTTTGGGATTGGTTTATGCTAGACCTTTAAATATAAACACGAGCGGTTTTGTTCATTTAATTATGACAAAACTGAGCATTTCTAGTCTCTGTTATATTTATAACACATGGGGATAGCTGATAGTTATTTCTCACGAAATTGATTCATCAAAAACATGTGAACCTTTTAAGCCGGAGGGGCAAATCAGCTCTAGATACAATTTCCCTATAAATTTTTTTCGCTAAACAAGTGCATTATATTATGTCATAGCATGTTTCAAATGTAGCATCATTACAACCCAATTTTGGAAAATAGAATTCCAAAAAATCCGATGTACAAGTGAAATAGAAATTAAGCTAGATTGTGAGCTTGCACATTCCATGTTCTAAGAATATATATGATGTTGATTTTTTCAAACGATCGCATCAACGTCCATATATCCTTGCTAGCGGTGTCTATTTCCCAAGATACTGCCACCTTCTTTTGTAATATTTGGACCACATTCTTTGCATCTGATAGTATATGAACTTTTGACAAACCATTCTGCAATGCTCTTTCTAATGCCTCAGCGGTTATGGCCTTCCCTACAAATTGAATAAGGGCATGAAGTAGATGACCACAGTTATCCATAGCCACCACTGCAATGCTTACCTTTTTCTTGTCCATTTTGTAAACTTGCATCTGTGAAAATAACTATACCTTCATTAGCCATATTAAGTATACCGGTCATAGCCGATGAAGCTAGCAAAGCATTGTCATAATCACGTAAATCAAATAACGCCTTATTAACAATGTCATTAGGATCATATATATCACCACCAAAACTAAAAGAATATCTAGCTTTCTATATTTGTCAGAAAAGAGAAATACTTAATCATAGTAGCTCAATGGAATCTGGGTACTGACATGTATTGCAAAATAAATCATTCCACCATTTTGCAAAATCAATATAGTTGCTGGCTCAGGCCCGTTAATAGGAGATAATTTCAACACTAATTGAGCTTTAGGGCAACTAAAAAAAATATGTGGTCAATCGTTTCTTTTTCTATATCACAAACTTTACTAACATCACAAATATGATTCAATCTTTTAGAAATGTTTGCATTAACAAGTAAGACATTCAAAATGCATTTCCTAATGAAATGTTTATATTTTATTTTTTTTTATCTCTAGTGACCCCCAAAAATCCCAAAGAGGTTTTGGAAACGAATGACAACTGGCTTAAGGCCTATCATTACTAACGTCATATAACTCTTAAAAAGATTGTTTGCTAGATGATAACCAGATTTTACCTCGTACTTGTTTGGCTTTATATATTGCCAAATAATTCAATTAGAAGTTCCAGTAATACATGTAGTGATGAGCAAAATAGAGTTAATGTCATTAGGACAAAAATAAGCATGGTTTTTATCATTAGGACAAAAATAAGTATGGATTTATTGCATATTCCATATATGATTATGTGGGTCTATAAGGGCATTAACCCTCAACTGCATATCTGCATATGTTTGTCATTATAGAGGTTTAAAACTATTCGAATTAGGAATTCATGGATCAATCCAAACCTTATTATTTTTATGTTTTTTCAGTTCCAAGAACTTGATGAGCGACAACTTGCACTAAGAAAAGAAGTATTCTGAAAATATTTATTTTTAGCAGCTTATGAAGTAAAGATTCTTCTTGGGTTACAATTCTCCATGCAAGCTAAGCCAATAGAGCGTTGTTAAAAGATTTTAAATCTCTAAGCCATTACCTCCTTTAGATTTTGACTCCCAGAGCTTCTGGTATTGTTCATAGTGCATTTTCCTCTTCTCCTCAATTTGACCCCACCAAAAATTATAGATAATAGAAGTATTCGCCTTACATAAGCTATCTGGAAATTAAAAACATGACAAAGCATACGAAGGAATGGCAGAAAGCACAGTTTTGTTTGCTGGACTTAAAAAAGTATTTTTTCATTCCCATTATCTTAGTTTCAACTCTTTCTTTAATAAAGTTTAGTACTTTTTTCTTTGATCTTCCAACTACCGCAGGTAAGCATAGATATAACCCCAAATTAGTTCTTTGTATTTGTCCTATCTCCGCTATAATGCCATCCTTATCTTCCTCAGTAGTATTTCTACTGAAAAACACTGTCGATTTATCAAAGTTGACATCTTGTCCTAAACAAAGTTCATAAGTCTTTAAAATTTCCAAAAAAAATTGCAGCATTTTGAGTATTAGCTGAACTAAAAATAAAGGAGTCATCAGGAAAAAAAAATGGTTTACCCGTAGGACCTCCCTTTTTTAGACTAATTCCTTGTATTGCTCCTTGTTCTTCGGCTTGATTCAAAAGCCTGAAAGTCCCTCAACGCATAAAATAAATAGACATAGCGACAAAGGGTCACCTTGCCTTAACCCCTTACTAGGTTTAATATTTCCAACAATTTCACCATTTAGATTAAATTTGTAAGCGGGAGTCGTGATACGTTGTATAATCTGACTTACAAACATATCATGAAAACCCATTTTCAAAAGTCCAACTAACAAACATATTCATTCCACTCTATCATAAGCTTTTTCCATGTCTAGTTTCAGAGTCATATATTTTTTATTCCCTCGCCTCTTATTTTCAACATATGAATATGCATGAGCTAAGACAATATTATCAACAATTTACCTACTACCTGCAAAGGCAGATTGATTAGGAGAAATAATACGAGGCAAATACTCATTCATTCTTACTATAATAATTTTAGTACTCCCTCTGTTCCAGTTTATGTGAACCTAGTTCCTTTTTGGTTTGTTCCAAAAAGAATGAACCCTTTCTAAATTTGGTAACAATTTAGCTTAAAGTTACAACTTTACCCTTAATGAGAAGCTTTTATAACCATACAAATACTCTGGACCCCATTTGAACTTGTTTAGGATCACAAATTCCAAAAGTATTCATTTTTTTCTTAAATTCCGCGCCCAGTCAAACAGGTTCACATAAATTGGAACGGAGGGAGTAATAATTTTAGACATTGTAGAGCACAAACTAATAGGTCTGAACTGACTAGTTATACTAGAATTTCTTATTTTTTGGATTAAAGTAATAAGAGTTTGGTTCCATGAGGGTAAGAGATATCCCGAATGAAAGAAACTTTTAACGGCATCAATAATAGTATTAGTGGAAAGGATATTCTAATAATTTTGAAAAAAGAAAGGAGTCATTTCATCCACCTTCGGAGCTTTTAAGGGAGGCATGTCAAACATTGCTTTTTTCACTTCGTCATCAGTCACCTCTCTAATAACACTTTGGTTTATGAAATCATCAACAAAGGGAGGAATTAAATTCAAAATAGAATCAAGATTTGTTGGTCTAGAAGTAGTAAATAAATTTGCATAAAAACTTTCTACTTCTCTAATAATATCATCCATTTCCTACACCCAATTTTCATTAGGCAATTGAAACCCTTTGATGCTATTACACTTGCGTCTCTAAATAGTTTTCATATGAAAAAAAAAATTGTATTTTTATCACCCTTTTGAAGCCACAGAGCTCTAGATTTTTGTTTCCAAAACGCTTCCTCGTCTTTGTAAGCTTTCCCTAACTCTTTCCTTAAAATCCTAAGCTTATTTATATCAAAAAGTGATGAGGATCATTCTTAATTTGTTCGGTTTTATTTTTTATACCAATAGTTCTCTTCTTCAAATTTTCTTTCCCCCTCTTAAGCAGGACAAAAACGATGACCGATATTTTATTTTTTTAATTTAAAGCTAACTTTGGATTGTTCAAAGCCATCTAATTGTTCATTCCAAATGTTTGCCACTAAATTATTAACATCATTCTTTTCACACCATCTTTTATCCAAATAGAAACTTAGTTTTTTCCTTATAGGGGTAGGTTCAATATTAAGTAGTAGCGCGCAATGATCTGAAGCCTCTGTATTGAAATGAGTTACTTGAGCCTAGTAGAATTCTAACCTCCATTCCGATGAGGGAACAGCCCTTCTAGTCTCTCTTGAATAAATCTATCATTTTCTATGAAACACCACCATGCCCAAGGCTTCCCTTTAAATTCTAAATCCACTGCTCCGAGAGTCCATATGAATTCTTTAAAGTCTCTAAAAGAAACTATTTCTCACTTCTACCTCCTAACTTTTTCAAGTTATCAATAACGTCATTGAAATCTTCAACTATTATCCAAATAGGACCCTAATTAGCTGATTATATACTAAGTTCATTCAGTTGTTCTCTACGAGTAACTCTATCGGTACTCAAGTAAAAAAAATACATCAATATTTAATATTCATTTAAAGTATCATGTACAAATATTTCAATATAAAAATGTGAAGTATGAGACAAACATACCTGAATGTCATCATTCCAAGCTTAAACCTCCAGATAATCCAACAAATAGGGTCTACGATTGTAGCATATGGCATGTTAAGTTGTCTTTGAACTCGCTTAACCATTCTGTATTCTTGGTTTCACTTAGAAAATCCCTATACCCCATTGGTGAAATTTTACTGGGTTGTTGTTGTACTTAGAAAATCATACTTTGGAAGTGGAGACGCATTGTCTCCTTCAAAGAGAACTATCGAGGATTTCCCAAGCCTCGACAATTCACACCAAAGCCCTCATTGTGAGGTGGGAAGCCATTTAGGGTTGGCTTCCTGCCCCACGATGATTTTTTTATTTTTAGCTTCTATACCCTTAATCAAAATAAGATGTTCGTTGATTCCCTAGAGTAGCACATTTTCGTTGATTCCCTAGAGTTTGCATATTACCTTTCTGTGAGAACTATCTTAACAAGATGTTCATTAGAATCCTTTAAATCTTTATTCTTTCAAAGTCTTTAGAGATCTTAGTTAGTCTAGCCATTCATTTTTAATTTTTCTTTTTTCTCCCTTCATTACTATTATCCGTCGTTGGTTGAGATAGAGTAAAAATTTCTTTCAATGATTTATTTGTTAATGCGCAAGACGAGTGTTCAATATATGGCTCAAGATTAGAAGAACATACTTGTCCTTTGTTTCTTGTAGGTCACTGGTTTTTGTATGGACTTCGATCTGATCAACAATTGTAGTAGCCTGGTTTATGTTGCCTCGCAACGCTGTCATATAAAGACGAGCAACATTATCCTGCGCTTGCGAAGCAACGAGTGGCAATTTTTGCTCTTTGTTATGGTTTCGAATTGTTTCCTCGCCAATACAATCACCCCCACACTCTTAAGTCGTGGTAACAGAACTAAGTATTATGGCTCTAAGAATTTTTCTAATATTTGTAGTTATCCCATATATGTGATGGACTCTTAATACTTATCTTTGTAGGTGATATACTTATCATTATGTATGTATCCATATCATATAAATACAAGTAATAGTGGCTCTCTAATTACTGATCCATTTAATGAAATCTATCATGGTATCAAATTAGACAGAGAAATCCTCTCTCATTCCTTCTTCTAACAGCTTGTTTGGATGGTTGTTACCTATTGTATTGTATCGTATTGTTACTTTAAATACAATGTTTGTTTTGATTGTTACTTAAATTTTATCGTATCGTATCGTTAAATCCGTCGTTACGTAACGATGAAATGTGTCACTTTATGTGACGACCGATTTGGTGTGGTCGCGTTGTTACCTTGTCCTTTTCTCTCAATTTCACCCTTCATTATTATTAAATAATTTTATTTTATCATTTACCCTACCTTTTTATATACCGTATCATAATTTTTCTTTATAATATTGCAAGCTTATTCATCATATTACTGGTGCATGATAACATGAAACGACGGCAAAACGACACAATCCATCCAAACATTATATTCATCAAACGATACAGTACAGTACAGTACAATACGATACGATACATTATGAAACGATATAAAACAACCATCCAAACAAGCTGTAAGCAGTCACTAGAGGTGTCAGTGGATATTTAAAAACCGACTAAACCGACCGAACTACACCGTACCGAACCGAATTTTATGTTTCTTTTAATAAAACTGTAGGTTTTTATATAAATCTATAATCGTACCAATAATTAAGGTAGGTTTTTTATTTTATGAAAATAAACCGAAAAAATACCGAACTGTACCAAATAAATTTACAATGTGAACAATATATTTATATATTAAGTTTAAAAATAATAAAGCATTAAATTTTTTCTTGGGCCTTGGAATTAAGAAACAGTTACAAGCCAACAAGTAATTAAACTCAAAATCTTAATTCCCAAACCTATTATGCTACTTATATTAAAACTAAATTATTTTCAGCATGTTCACTAGCAAGACACAAGGTATTATCACGATTATGAGTAGCAAACTACAATATATTGAATATGTTTCCTTTCGTATGATTTTGATTTATATTTTTGAATATTTAATCTTCTATAGACTTTATTCTTGAATCACAGCTTAGTTAATATTTTGATTTATATTATTTTTGTATTTGCTTAGTTTTTTTTACGTTGATGTAGAATAGCTGATGGATCTATACTCTAGTAATCTTTCATATTTTCTTAATTCATCACTTTTTAAACTGTAAAAATATCTAGAGAGTTTTGCTAAGTCATATAAAAGTACGTATGTTATTGCATTCTACTTCTACTAGTGACTTTTACATGACATTAAAAAAAATTACCGAAAATTTACTGACCGTACCGATACCGAAGAGAAATCGACATGATTGGGATGGTTTCGAGAAGTCTAATTTGGTTATACATAACAGAATAACCGAAAAATTGGTATGGTACAAATTTTATAAAATAACCGGCTGAACCGAACCATTGACACCCCTAGCAGTCACGGAACTCTATCATTCACCATACTCAACATTGTTGGAATTTTCTTGTAAACCTTTTCCTCAAATCCAGTACTTTCCCACACCATTTTTCTTTACTATGGCATCATCTGCACCCTATACTTCTATTCCTCTATCCAAACCTGATGATATTATTCCATCCTCAAACCTTATTGTTGCTTTCTCACCTTCCCCTCTATTGTTTCCTCCTCTTATGTCATCACTTTCTTCCATGGCCTCATCAGTACCAAGCTATTTCTCCGCTCCTAACTTGTTTCCATGTTCACTGCTGCTATTACGCCACCTATATTTCCATGTGTTGGTTCGTTGGACTCAATTATTGCCTCAAAGTTTCACTCTATTGTTGCACTAGTAACGCATAATGTCACCAATCTGGTAACAATTAAGTTACAGTCTGTTGAAGATTATCTCACATGGCGTACTCAGTTCACTTCCCTTCTCATATCTCATGATTTGCTTGGTTTTGTTGATGGTTCTATCCCTGCTCCGCCCCCGCTTCTTTGCGACGCTACTGGTTCGTAACAACCAAATCCAAGCTACTGCTTGTGGGTTGGAATTGATCAAAGCATTCGTTCTTGGATCTTTGCGACCTTGTCACGTGAAGTTTTTGTCGACATCCATCTTCACGTGATATTTGACTTTCCTTACATCGTAGATATATGGATGCTAGCCAAGCTAAAGTAATTGAACTTAAGAGACAACTCATTACTTTGAAGAAGACGACATCTATATCAATTAATCAATATTTAAGAGAGGCAAAATAATTGGTTGATTCACTTGCAGCCATAAATTCTCCAGTTTCCTCCTAGGATTTCATTGATCATGTCCTTCTTGGATTAGGAAAAGAATATGATACGCTGGTTGGTATCCTCACTCACTTCCCTGGACATGTATCACTTGAAGATTTGCGTTCTAAGATCCTTTTGCATGAACAACGGTTGTAACGCTTTTAAGAATCTAATTCTATCATCTCTCATCATGAATTTGCTACCCAGAATGTTCAATCAAATTCTTCTAATATGTCCAGCAATGCAGCGCCTTCTTCGTAATCGTGGACGAGGAAGATCCTCGTCTTTTCGAGATCGAGGTCGTGGTGGAAGGGGTCGTGGTTTCTCTGGTCGAGGTCCCTCACTACCGTCTACTCCCAATAATCTTGCTCGCAGTGGTCCTACAGGTCAGCCTCCGTCAGGTATTGGTGGTGCTTCTCCCACTCCTTATAATTCACAATCTGGCAGTACATTCTCACCATCCATTGGGATCTTAGGTCCCTCGCCCTCACCCATTGCTTGTCAAATTTGTGGGCATCCTGGTCATACTGCCTTACAATGTCAAAATCGTTTTAATCATGCTTTCGTTGCTAATGATCTTCCTAAGTCTTTTGCTGTTATGTCTGTTGGTGAAACAAATGACGCTACTTGGTATTTTGACACTGCCATGTCCGCTCACATGACTCCATCCGAAGGTAATTTTATACAAAAGAACCCTTACACTGGCTCTAATCGTGTTTTGGTAGGAAATGGTACATTGCTTAACATTAAAAATATCGGCTATGCTCAGTTGCCTTCTACATCTCGTCCTCTACACTTACAGTCTATATTTCATGTTCCTCAACTTTGCCATAATAGTATTTTGTCAAGTCTTAGGAACCATAATCTTATTACGTTACTAAATTCCTTTAGTAATAACTGTGTTTCGTGCAAGTTAGGGAAGTCTCAACGTTGTCCTATAATTTAGTGGCTCACTGTAGTTCTTTTCCTTTAGATATTATTCATACCGATGTTTGGCAATCGCCTGTTTACCAAACTTGGGTTTTCAATATTATGTTATATTTTTTGACGATTTTTCTCGATTTACATGTCTTTATCCTATGATGAGAAAATCAGAAGTTTTTTTAGCACTTTTGTGCATTTCAAAAACTCATGGAAAACACTTTTAACACTAAAATTAAAACTTTTCAAAGTGATAGAGGTGGTAAATTTGATAATAAGGTTATGCTTCAACACTTTTCTAACTCGGGTATTTTGTTTCGTAATCATGCCCAGATACTCTACCACAATGGGATGGCTGAACGAAAACATCGCCACCTAATTGAAATGGTGTGTACCATCCTTACAGATGCTCATTTGTCATCTCAATTTTGGGTTGATGTTGCTTTTATGTTGTTTATTCTATTAATAGATTGCCTACTCCCATTTTGAATGGACTTGCTCCATTTGAAAAGCTTTTTCGTACATCCCTGACTGCAATTTTCTTCGAATTTTTGGTTGTGAATGTTTTCCAAATATATCTGCTCAAGTTTCTTATAAGCTTCAACCACGTCAATGTATTTTCCTAGGTTATGCTTCTAATTATAAAGGTCGTTGCCTAGATCCTACACCTGGTCGTGTTTATGTCAATCGATATGTTGTCTTTCATGAATTAATTTTTTCATATCCTACATTGTCTCGTCCCTCTACTGTCCCTTCATCCAATGGCTCTTCTGAGATTCTTGTAGTTACTGCTCCTTTATCCCCTTAGTAGTCCGATACCCAATCTAAGTCAAGTATGTCTCATTCTACGTCATCTTCCCCTCCTCCATCTAGAGTTTCTTCCCCGTGCTGTACATCTAGCTCTACGGATCACATGTCCATCACCGGTTCTCCTACCGAGTGTTGCTCTAATGTTCTCTCTTCTTCTGCACCTACCTCACTGCCAACTAGCACTGCTTCTCCTCCTACTTCTATGCCTTCTGCTCATTCAATACACACTCGCTCAAGTCTGGTATTTCGAAACCAAAATAAATATTTTCTTTGAACATTATTATTCAAGAAATTGAACCCTTTTGTTTTCTTAGGCAGTAAAAAGTCCGAAGTAGCAACAGGCCATGTCAGATGAGTTTAATGCACTTTTAGCAAATAATACTTGGGTTCTTGTTCCTTTTCAACCTCACATGAACTTAGTTGGCTGTAAATGAATTTATCGTATTAAATATATTCGGATGGGTCAGCTGAGCAATACAAGGCACGACTTATAGCACAGGGACTTCATCAGCAGCCTGTCATTGATTATCATGAAACATTTAGTCATGTTGTTCGTGCTACCACTATTCATATTGTCCTCTCTCTTGCCGTTTTTTTTCTTGGCCTATTCGTTAACTTGATGTTAAAAATGCTTTTCTACATGGTATTCTTTATGAAGAAGTCTTTATGAAACAACATCCAGGTTTTACTCATCCTGATTATCCTCGTCATGTTTGTAAGCTAACCAAATTGTTCTATGGTTTGAAGCAGGCACCACGTGCTTGGTTTCATCGCTTTAGTTCATTTCTCCTGGCTCATGATTTTATTTGCAGCAAATTAGATACATCCATGTTTATTTACCGTTCATCATCTGGTATTCTTATTTTATTACTTTATGTTGATGGCATTATTCTTATTGGTAGTCATTCTTCTTTTCTTGATCACTTCATTAGTCGTCTCTCTAGACAATTTGCCATGAAAGACTTAGGTGATTTTCATTACATTCTTGGTGTTCAGGCAGTTCGTTCTTCTAATGGTCTTCATTTGTCACAACAAAAGTATATTTCTGATTTGCTTCTTAAATTTCACATGCATACATGCAAACCAGTTCGCACCCCTATTACTTCTCGCACTTCTCTTTGTATTATGGATGGTGAGTTACTTTCAGATCCTAGTGAATATAGGAGTATGGTTGGAGCTCTTCAATACTTAACTATGACTCGTCCAGATATTGCCTATGTTGTTAACATTGTTTCACAATTTATGCATGCTCCACGTACTACTTATCTGCATTGTGTGAAGCGCATTTTCAGGTATTTACAGGGTACCATTATATCTGAATTGTTCTTACGTGCCTTTTCATCTGCCTCTTTTATATTAGCCTATTCGGATGCTGATTGGGCTGGTTGTCTTGATAGTCGACGCTCTACCACAGGGTTTGCGGTATTTTTGGGCTCTAATCTTATCTTATGGCGTGCAAAGAAGCAACTAACAATCTCTAAATCTTCTACAAAGGCTGAGTACAGAGCTATCGCCTGTACTGGCTGAGACATCTTGGATTCGTAATATTCTTCATGACATCGGGCTCTATCTTCGTAACTAGGTTCATGTTCTTTGTGATAATGTGAGCTCTACATATATGTCTCGTAACCATGTGTTTCATCAACTCTCTAAACACGTTGATGTTGATTTTCATTATGTTCACGAAAAAGTTGCTCAAGGGGATCTTGTTGTTCGATATGTGCCAACTCGGTTATAATTTGCAGATATTTTCACAATGGGTTTACCATCATCTCAGTTCAACTTCTTACGTGACAATCTGTCTGTCATGTCTGCCAGTCCAGATTGAGGGGGCATATTAGGACTCTAAGAATTTGTCTAATATTTGTAGTTATTCCATATATGTGATGGACTCTTAATACTTATCTTTGTAGGTTATATACTCATCATTATGTGTATCCATATCATATAAATATAAGTAATAATGGCTCTCTAATTACTGAGCCATTTAATGAAATCTATCACTAAGCTCCTTGCCTCTCTTTCCCCTATTATGTCATCACATATGCTCTCATCAACTGGTATCTGTGAACAAACATCTTGCTTCTCCAACCCCACATCCAAACATTACGTTGAGAGCATTTTATTAACCATAAAAGTTCCTTCTCCAGCGTTATTCCAAATACCAGCAAGCTCTGTCTCTCTTATTCCAAAATTTGTTATCTCCATAGGCCGCCTTTGATGTTATTCTAGTATGTTCAATATATCATCTTTTTTCCCATTCAAACTCATAGTTCTTTTCCCCAATGATCCATTTTGATGCATTTCATGGAGATCCTCTTTCCCTAAACCATGATGCATATTAGTTGAGTCAGCTCCTCAACCAGATTTAGCATACTTTTACTAGTTTCTACAACTCTTTTTCCCTTGACCATCTTAGAGTTATGGTTCCCAGGCATGGTATGCCCATCATTAGTGTTTACTCCTCGGCGTCTCTACTTTTCTTAGAAAAACACATGATTCTCTACTTTTAACCATGTCCCAAATTGATCATTTTTTAGTTCGCCTGATCGTATGTCCCTTTCTCGTTCTACACAAGTTTTATTGTTATATCCTAGCATGCCACAATACTAACAAACACAAGGTATATTTTCATATCTTACTTCAACCCATATTGTTTTCAATCCTAACTTGATCAATTCACTTCTAGGAAGTGGCTTAGTAATATCTATCCTCGCTTTAAGCCTCATATACCGTCCCTCTTTACTTCTATTTTCTAGGATTACAATTAGGGGTGTTTGTCGGTTGGTACAATATGTTATTTAGTCATTTTCGTTCGGTATTTTCGGTATTCAGTTTCTTAAAATGTACCAATACCATACCTAATTACGTTCGGTATGGTACTGCTTTTCTCCTTTCGATTTCGGTTTATTCGATCCGGTAATTTCGTTTTATTCGGCTTGAATATTAACTCGTGCATAGAGCCATAGACTATAATATTCTTAATTAAAGTACTTAATGAAAATGTTAAGCTCATTTGACTGTAGACAAAAATTTTATCCAAAACCATCAAGTATCTACTAAGAGAGAAAAAATGTACCTAAAGGAATACATTTGTTCATTGAGAATATCGTATTACTTGCTTAGAGTTAATTGTTGAAATAAGAGAATACAACAAGGACTAATCCAACGTATGTAACAACAATACAAGAGTAATGGATTAAGAAATACCCTAAAACCGTTAAGTTGCATTAAAGTGCTTGGCAACGTAGAGAATAAGAACTAGAATCTGCATTCCACCTTGTTCCTCCATTTTTCCAAAGAAGTACATGAATTTTACTGCCAACCTCAACATGAATACCAAAAAAAAGCATTGCGTAACTTAGTATGTTATCAATAATATATGTAATGTGTAATATAATATAATATATTTCGATACGGTATCGGTATTTCGGTATTATTTTTTTTAATTACCAACAACCAAATTATTTTAAAACCAAATACCATACCAAAACCAAAATACCTAATACCATATACCAAAATTTTCGATTTCGGTATGGTAATTCAATATTACCATATTATGCACAACCCTACCTTTGATTCTCCTTTGTTGGAGCTATTGCTCCTTTAGTGATTCAAACTTGTAGGTGAAGGGTGCTGACCATTTGAGTAACCTCTTTTGACATAATTTAAGGATCCCGTCTATCTTAATGTTTAGTTTCGAGGCATAATTTAACAAAAATGTTAGAGGGTCAACAAGGTTTTGACATCTAGTTGCAAGGTTATTCATGTTTTCTTTCCGTTCTTGTACTTTTTATAGTAAGATTTGCTTCTGATTTATATTATCTAACTTCAATTTTGGGTTACAATGGTAAAGAAAATACCATTATTATTTGGAAACAAATTTATAAATGAGGGAATTTTACTTATTTTCACTACATAAATTTTGTTAGTAATCTGTATTTGTAAACTAATTCTGGGAAAAACAGAATAACGAATAAACAGAAAACGTAAAGAAACAAAAGTTAATTCGAGCCCACTGAATTCACAGTGTTTCCTTAAGGAATTTAATCCCCTCCTAGTACTCAAGGTTATGGATTATTTTCTCCCATGATAGAACGAATTACACACTGGTGTAGTGGTATTTCAAACTCAATGTTTCAGCGAACACCAAGTTCGGTAGCAAATCACACTTACTGTTGCTTTCTTTGAAGTTAAAACAATGCAGAAGAAGGAGGAGAAACTCAGAAAATCGTATGGAAATTCTGAGCAGAATGGACTTGTATTTATAGTCAATGTTGGGTTGAAATCTGAAGAGGTGCAACTCTTCAGAATGGCTGTTTATGCAAAACGGCCACAACATAAATGTCATAACATAAATGGCTATTTACTCAACAATAAAGAGGTAAAATTGAAGAGGGTAGTTAATTTTCTGTTACCAAAACAGAAAACGGAAAATTGGATTTTAATATTAATATTTTGTTATTAAAACGGACATTTAATAACATTCCTGTTAATATTTACTATTAACAAACAAAATTGGTCCAAAAAATTAATCAATCAATTGACCAAATCCGAAGCCGAAGCCGAGCCGAGCGACGACAGCGCGAGGCTTGCCTTTTTCTTAACTCTTTAAGAGCTAGAAGAAGAGCAATTGCTTATATACCCATTAAAAACCTCTTTCTCTTTCAATATGGGACAATGTTCCTTCATCAAGGGGAAACTTAAAATTTCACTTAAAAATTTCATTTCCTTCCATATCCCATCCAATCTCTTTTAAGAATTTAATATGCTTAAAACCCCAACAAATTTATCACCAAAAAGACAGACAGAATTTCAAATAAGAAGGCCAAACTGTTTAAATATTCAGAGTCATTGCAAGCTGAAGTTTGGTCATCTATGCTTCAATTGTAATACTGGTGAAATATTAATGAAAACTTAATTGAGTAATATTTTCAGTGAAATAGTGATTTTCTCTCACATTTTTTTTAAAACTCATTAAAATCCTACAACATCCAAAGATATATTCCTATTACTGTTTTTGAAATGAAATAGAGGTATTATTAGAAATGACATACAAAACCATATAAGTATTTTGTCTTAATTTACGTGAGACTATTACTGTTAGGAACGTTAAAAAAATATTCCACAATTTTCTTTAAAAAAAATATTTAATTATTTTAAATTATTAAGTATTGTGACTTAACTTAAGCTCCAAGGTTTGCCACATAAAGTGGAAGATGCAAGAACACAAATTCAGAACAGCAGAAGCAAACGATTTATCTGCATGCTAAGTGTCATCGTCTTAATTCTTAGATCTAGACCAGGATTTACCTCTAGGGTCCAACCTTTTGTCCCTAAATTATCTAGGGAAGTTTCTGTTATAGAAAATCAAGAAAGTAAACTAAAGGACCAAATTAAAGTAGAAGTTTTTTACCACCAAAGGATGTGGTGTGGTAGATGGGACTGCTCTTCCCTTAATCAGAGGTCTCGGGTCCGAGCTCTGAGTATGGAAAAATCCTTGGTAGGGAGCGCTTCCGCTCGAATGGGGCCCTACACGGCGCGAATCCGAATATAGTCGGGCTCCAATGCAAGTACCGTACACCGGATGGGAAACCAAAAAAAATTAGAAGTTTTTGGAGTTTACCTAAAACTCCAAAAGGATCTTGAACAAGCTTTAGTCCATTAGAACAAATCTTAGTAGTAAGCAACTTCTTGCGCAGCTTCCCAGTTGGATACTTAATGCATTTATTCAGTACCCAGCATCCATAACAATGTGTTGCAACAAACTGCAAAAGTGGACAAGGTATGAGAATAGATAATGAAAATCTTTAAAAGCTAATTTGAAGTATAATTCTTCACTAGAAATATTTTAATAGATAAGAACCGTAACTTTTTTTAATTGCACAAGTATTTTGAATTAACCATGATATACTTCCTGTTAATGGATAGATATAGAGGGTGTTTGGCTAAGCTTATAAGCTGGTCAAACTGGCTTATAAGTACCTTTTGGCTTATCTATGTGCTTGATAAACACCCAAAGTGCTTATAAGCTAAAATCAGTCATAAGTCATAAGCTGGTCACCCTCAACTTATGGTTTTTCAGCTTATAAGCACTTTTAGTTTGACCAACATTTTTACTAGTTTATCCTTAATAATATTTTCTAATTCACAAAATGTTTTTCCCAAAATAAATTTCCTGACCTTCTCTTCATTCCATATTCGTTATTAATTCTTTTCTTTACAAAATAAATTTTAATTTATAATCTTCTAGTAAAAATTCAAGGGTATTTTAGTCATTTAATAAAAGATTAGCTTTGTAGACAAGAAATTGCGTCGAGAAAATAAAATCAAGCCAAAAAATATTGCAACAATCGTAGTATTTTATTTCAAATATTTGAGTGTTACAATCTCTATGATTCCTCTGATTCTACTTTTCTAGTATAAATTCAAGGGCCTTCGAGCTTGATCTTGAATTTGAATTTGATTTATCCGTCGTGACCACTTTGATTGTTGCCACGAATTTTATCACGAACAAGTAACCTTGA